ATTTTTGACGAGCGGGGCAAATGGGGCAAGTCGGGGCCCCCTCAAACGTCTCTTTCTCATCCTCCTCGTCCTCGTCGCCCTCGCCGTCCCTATCGCCATGCTCCTCATCGCCCTCCCCTCGTCTCCGACCTCGGACCTCCGACATCCCCCTCGTCCACCTCTCCATTTGCCCCGCCATCCCCCCTCGTCGCCCCTCGCCCCCCTCATCGTCGCCGTCGTCACCCCCCCCTCCCCCCCCTGGGCGCGCGAGGACGTCGGGACTTTAACCCCGCGGTCCTCCTGCGAATACTTCGGGTTCTGGTTCAGAGAAGCCACGGCGCGCAAAGTGGGAGGCACCTCGCGACCGCGCTTCATCCGGCTGCGCCGCTCGATGCCTGGGCGGCTCCACAGGAGGATCGCGCATGGCAGCTTGAAGCGGCGGCGGTCGCGGAGGTCGCGCCGAGCCGCTGGAGGAACAACGGGGGGCGCTGGGATCATCTGGCGCCCCTCTCAAAAACCTTGCAGCCCAAATGGCTGGGCCGCAAGCGCCGCGCGGCACCCCGCGCGTGTCGCGCGGCACCGAGCAACGCGATGCGGCCCCCTGCAACCACGGCACGGCACGCACCCCACGGCACCTCGCGCACAGAGTGGCGCCGCGGCACCACACATCACCGCACCGCACCACGCTCGCGGCCCCACGGCACGGCACGCACCGCACCACCGCGCCGCGACACCACGGCAAGGCATTCACCGCACGGCACGCTGCATCACCGATCGCACCACGCGGCACCACACTAACAGCACGCCCCTGATTCCCGCGCGCACCGCGCGGCACCGCTCACGCGTGCCACGTGAGCACCCATCCAAACATTTGTCCGCCAAAAAACAAAACACCTCTTAGGGGGGGGGTAGTAATTCCTTGCAATGAGGATAATCCAATGTTTCACATCGGCAAACGTGTCTATGTGAGTTCCGAAACAACACGAAAACATGTTAACTTGAAAACCAAATGAGAAAAACCCAATGCAAAATTCAAGTTTCAAATCGCCCAATGCGTTAAATCGATGTGGAAAAAAGAAAAGAAAAAACTCATGTAAACCCGAAGACCCAATCATAAAAAAACATGATGTGAAATTCATGTTTCAGATCGTGCAAGGTTTTCAAGGTAGAGTGTTCTATTGTCGACTATACAATACTCCAACGCGCGCGCGGGTGACCATGGTCACCCGCACGCGCGGGTGACCACCTTCGGCCTCCTTAAAGAGCCACAGAAATTTCAAATTCATTTTCTAGAATTACATGTAGACGTATCTATTGTGGACAATACAATACTCAACGCGCGCGCGGGTGATCATGGTCACACGCACGCGCGGGTGACGCGTGTCGGTTGGCGTCGGCCTCCTTAAAGAGCCACAGAAATTTCAAATTCAGTTTCTGGAAATAGATGTAGACTTTTCTATTGTGGACAATACAATACTCCAACGCGCGCGCGGGTGACCATGGTCACCCGCGCGCGCGGGTGACCCGTGTCACCGTCGGCCTCCTTAAAGAGACACAGAAATTTCAAATTCAGTTTCTAGAATTACATGTATACTTCTCTACTGTAGACAATACAATACTCCAACGCGCGCGGGCGACCATGGTCACACCCGCACGCGCGGGTGACCCGTGTCACCGTCGGCCTCCTTAAAGAGCCACAGAAATTTCAAATTCAGTTTCTGGAATTACATGTAGATTTTTCTATTGTGAACAATACATACGACGTGTTAGCCCGAAAACCCAATGAGAAAAACACAATGTAAATTTCATATTTTAAACCGCCCAAGGTTTCCAATCGATTTCGAAAAACCACAGAAAACGCATGTTAACCCGAAAACCCAATGAGAAAAACCCAATGTAAAATTAATGTTTCAGATCGCCCAAGGTTTTCAATGCATTTCTGGAAAACCACTGGTTTACCCTTAAGGGCATCCATGGATTTCTGGGCGCTTAGATCACATACTACGAACATATACATTTGTCAAAAGGAAGGAAGCGGCAGTACGCGGCCCGAATTCCGGAGAGGTCCCGGCCCGGGCCGCGCGCCGGCGCATGCGCAGCATCGGCGGGTCGGCAGTCTCCTGAACTGAACTATCAATGATCAGCGGAAGTTCCTTTGCGTCGGCGATGCACCGACGTGAAAGACGCGCAACGCGCGCTGCGGAACGAACCAGTTCAACGCATGTGTCACGCGCGTGCGATATGCGAAGCAATTCCATCAAACAAACATTCAAGCGATTTGTAATGGAAAAAACAACAACAACAGGAAACACATGTTAGCCCGAAAACCACATGAAACAAACCCAATGCACAAAATCATGTTTCAGATCCTCCAACGTTTTCAATCGATTTCGAAAAGCCATGGAGAAAGCATGTCAACCCGAAAACCCAATGAGAAAAACCCAATGTAAAATTCATGTATCAGATCGTCCAAAGTTTCCAATCGATTTCGAAAAAGCACAGAAAACGCATGTGAACCCGAAAACCCAATGAGAAAAACCCAATGTAAAATTAATGTTTCAAATCGCCAAAGGTTCCCAATCGATTTCGAAAAACCACAGAAAACGCATGTTAACCCGAAAACCCAATGAGAAAAACCCAATGTAAAATTAATGTTTCAGATCGCCCAAGGTTTTCAATGCATTTCTGGAAAACCACTGGTTTACCCTTAAGGGCATCCATGGATTTCTGGGCGCTTAGATCACATACTACGAACATATACATTTGTTAAAAGGAAGGAAGCGGCAGTACGCGGCCCGAATTCCGGAGAGGTCCCGGCCCGGGCCGCGCGCCGGCGCATGCGCGGGTTCGGCGACCACCAGCGCATGCATGCACAAATTCGGAAGGACAAGCGCCATCAACAGCGTGGGTTAAGTTTTCTTGGCAACGGAAACGACGGGACACGCTTCCTGAAACGAGCTCGAAGGAACCTTTGTTTCGATCCGTCATGTCGGAAGCATTTGGCACGAACAGCTACTGATATGCAAATTTATGCGTACCGTAACAAACAACAGATGTTCATTCCCACTATGTATTATGGTTTTCGGTGTGCACGGGCTGAAACCCCATAAACAAAAATCCGTTCAAGTTCCCGCGCAGTTTTTTTTTTGTCTACCTACCACCTGAATTGCGTGCACTTCCCAAACGCAAAGAAACACACTTTTTCGTGGCGTGCATCTGAAAAAGGCTCTGCCCCCCCCCTCCCCCCGCTGGATGAGCTAGGCAGCGTGGACCTTTAGATTTCGCGCGACGACGCTGTGAAAGTGCAACGACGCCGCGGACTCCGTACCAGTGCCCTTCTTCGCGGATTGCATTCAGGCTAGTTCTGTGATTTCTGCGATTCCCTTCCCCTGTGTGCGTTTTGTTTGAAAACCATTGTTTTAGGTTGGCGTAAATTGCGCGCTTGAATCTACATCTCAAAAACTAAACGAATCCCAAGGGCGACGCCGACGCTTTGTCATCTTCGACGTTTCGGCGGCTAGGGCGCGGCCCCGCGCGCTCATCATACTCCCGACGACTTCGGCCTTTGGTTTGGCTTCTCGTGCCAGTTTGTTCTTCAAGGTTTCTGCGTTGGCAACGATTGTCAGGGCAACGATCTGGTTGTGCCTTCTCTAGCTCTAATCCCCATCACGCGTGATGCCGATCTATTCCAATTTTGCTCATGACTTTCCAACGCACCGTGCTTCCTACCTCCACTTGCATACTGATTACGCTACCGAATGGCCCAGACGACAATGGCATGCGGCAGTTGCTTCTGCGTGTACTGACGCTTCGGCCTCTCAAATTTCCCTATAACGCCTTTTCCGACCCCGGCTTCTATTATTGTATTGTTTGCGTGTCCCTCCCCCTCGCCTTATGTTATGCGATCCATCTTCTACTCTCCGGCGCCTGCTCTGACCCCCGCTCCGACGCCTGGTCCGGTACAGTATCGATCACGTGGGTGCTATATACCATGTCGGCACAGCCCAGGCCGATTGCAGCAGAGTGAGACACTACAGCCGAAACCCTCAGCATGGAGGAAACGTACCCTGGAGGAGAGGGGTTCCGGAAGTTCTTGGCGATTCTCGTGCTCCTTGTCGGCTGCGAGCCCGAGGGGGAAGTGAGGAGGAGCGGGCCTCTTCAGAAGCGTCCGAAGTCCCCCATCCTTCTGAAAAGTTTCCCAAGCCTTCCACGAAGATACCGAAAACCTCTCAGAAGACTGGAGGCCTTCTGAGAAGTCCCGCCGCCTTCTGAAGAGGACTTCCCTCGACCTCCATCTCCGCACCTTCCGGACGGCAGATGCCGCACAGCGTCAGCCACCAGAGCAGCCACGGCCGAGGCCGCCGTCGAGGCCGCAGCGGCGGCCTCGGCGGTCTCCGCGGCCGCGCCGCGGCGGCAACTGCTGCGAGAACGTTCGAAAGGTGAAGGTCAAGGGGTCTCCTTCTCACTTTCCCCTTTCGCTTGCCGCCGAGCTTGGGCACCTATAGGGCAAGGTCACCTCTAGCAACACCCGACCTTCGCTGCGACTGTCCGCGGCATTGCTCGAGCCGGATCGATCCGTGAAGGTCCAGGGGGCCTGGACGAGAAAGCCCAGGGCGCGGAAAGGCAGACCCGTTGATCTCGGAACCCGCCCTTCATGGCGATGCCCTGGGCTGCAGCTGTCCGCGGCATTGCTCGAGCCGCATCGATCCGTGAGGGCCCAGTGGGCCCGGACGAGAACGCCCAGCGCGGGAAACGGCGACGCCAGAGCCTCGGGGACACCAGCCGCCCTCCGATCCGATGTTGTCAGTGCGCGTCCCGACCCCTGCCCTCCCCAGAGGTCATTTCTCGCTCCGGCTCCACCCGTGATGGCCGCGTGCCCAGAAACGGCCCCCGAGGGTCCGAGTTGACGACAGAACGTCCGGGTTGAAGCCACACGCAGATCGTCGGAGACCTGGGTCGAGGACCGCCGTCGTCGCGGGCGCCACCGCCGTCGCTGTCGTCGTCGTCCCCCGTGCAGCGGCCTTGGGCGTGGCGGTGCCCCTGGTGCCCCTCATCCTCACGAACTGGTTTGTGCGGTCGCGCTGCACTCCCTGCGCCGGACTCTCGCATGGCTTGTTCCATAATTCCTCCTCCGTGCTCCCTTGCTCTTCCCTTTCGCCCAGACCTCCCACGTATCTGGCCGTCGCTCGGACGCCCATTCCCCGTGCACTTTTTTCGATTTTTCGTGCGACATTTTCCGCACGGTGATCCCAGGTGCCCCTCGATGGCCCTCGCCGAGAAATAATGCACACGTCCGAGCGATGCCAAGGTGTTGGAAGAACAGAGACACGACATCGCCACAGGGAGCTCGCCAGGCCCCAAGACCCTCCAAGCACGACCTGGGGTGCACGGCCGGCCCCTGGGCTCCGGGGAGGGGGCTGGGACTTCCCGAGGCCGCCCGCGCACGGAAAGAAACAAGACATCGGATGTCTGGGTACGGGTTGCCAGCCTTGTACGGTCGGCTCGTGCGGCCTCGGCGCGTGCGAAGGTTTTTGACACTGCTTCGATCGTTCAACCCTGAATCGCTCGCGGCCCGGATCGTTCAAGGTTGCCTTTCATCGGGTCCAGTGGCGTCACCGCGTCCCTCGGTGCTTCCGCGTCGCAGAATTCAACCTTGAACGCCTTCGCTGGCGTCGCCGGCGCGCCGACGCCGCATGAATCACCGCACGTTGCAGCCCCGTTCCTGGGTTCCCGGTTCCGGGTTCCCGGGTTCTCGTGTTCCCGGTTCCGGGTTCCCGGGGGCTCCTGGTTATTGCTTCCGGGCCGATTTCGCTGGGTCCTGGGTTCCCGGGTTCCCGCTCGTTCTCCTTTATCGAAAACCACCCACTAATTCCCAGAGATCCGATGTCGTGATTTTTTCAATGCAAGGTCCCCGGAAGTCTCGACCCATTCCCCGGGACCGGTTCTTCATCCTGAATCGTCATTTCACGGTCCCGAGGCCCGGCGAGGGCCCCCAGAGGCCGAAAATAGCGAAAAACCTCCGTCTTGATTTTTTCAATACGTTGGATCTCTGGGTTGGGGTTTTTCTCCGGTGTAATCATCTGTTGCAGCCCCGTCCCCTTCGCCGTGCCAGGCGGTGAGCTGTGAGGCTTCCTGGTGGGCCGCAGAGCGGGCGCGTCGGACCGTCGACCTCCATCGAGGCTGGCGCCCCCCCCCGTTGGCACTGACGTGCCTCGTGCCCGCCTGGGGGGCCGAACCGAACCGAACCCTGCTGCGCAGCTCCCGCATAGCTCCCTGCCCCCCTCTGCCTACTCCTCCTCCTCCTCCTCCTCCTACTCCTCCTCCTTCTCCTCCTCCTCCTCCTCCTCCTCCCTCCTTCTGCCTCCTCCTCCTCCTCCTCCTCCTCCTCCTCCTCCTCCTCCTCCTCCTCCCTCGCCGGCGAGAGAGAGCAGCGGAAACAGAAACGACGGCGGCGGCGGCGACCCGGACGTGCCACGCCTGGCCTGCTCAGCACTGGGACCCCGGAGGTCCCGACCCGTTCCCCGGAGCCGTTGCTTTGCATCGCATCGCAGCGCATCGCCAGCGGCACGAGAGCTGTCTGAGCTCTCGCGGGGCACCTGCGCGCCTCGTGGCAGGCGTGTGGACCCCAGGAGGACGCTCCTTCTGCAGTGCCTCTGCCGTATCCCGAGTCGTCTTCTGACTGTCCCGAGGCCCTGCGCAGGCCATCAGAGCCCATAAGAGCAAGGAGCGCAGAACGCGCAAACCTTGCGAACGTTGTCTTATTCGGCGTTTCGACATTGTGCGGAAGGGGGGGGGGGCGGGGGGGGGTCTGGCTACGGACCTCTGCTTAGTTGGACGCCCGAGTTATCCGGGGTAATCGGGTCGGGGTAACTCGGGTTTGGGTTCCGAAAAACGAAACCCGAGTTATCCCTGACCCGAGTTATCCCTGATGATTCGGGGCTCTGGACGCCCGAGTTATCCGGGGTAACTCGGGTCCGGGGTAACTCGGGTTCGGACTCCCGAAAAACGAACCCGAGTTATCCCTGACCCGAGTTACCCCTGATGATTCGGGGCTCTGACTTAGTGCGACTGTTGGCAGCAGTGCGTCCTGTGGGGGAGCCTCTGCCTGCTCGAAACAGGCGCCAAAAACAGCCAGGATCTACTCCAGGGGGGGGAGGGGGGGTTCGAGGGCCCGCGCCGATCGGCAAAACAATGCGTAAGAAAACGCTCACCTTCCGTTGTGACTTGCTTCCGCGGCGATGGCGACGGCGACCCCCCGCGGCGACCGATCTCCAGGGGTCGACCACGCGGTAGTGGCCCGCCTCCCTGCGGTGCTCGTCGCCCCTGCGCGCCGCCCCCCCCCCCCCGCTACCCTTCGGGGCATCTGGCGCCGCGACAGACATCACGGCGAGAAGGAGATCGAGACGAGGAGGTCGGGGATCGCGGATCGGGGAGAACAAGTGGAGAGAAGGAGGTCGAGATGGGCGCTTCCGGCCTTCTCTGTGCCTCTGGAGGCCCTTGGAATCCTCTGGTGGCCTCAAGGGTCCTCCAGAGACATCTCGGGACCTGGCGGGATTTTGCTGCGTAGTCTCGGTGCCAGTTGTGGGAAGGGAGACCTGGGGCCCCCCGGGACCCGGTACCGCGTATATGAGCGATGTGCTGCCCCAGACCATCAGCAATCTTACCAGATGCGGCAAGAGCAAGGATTGGCCAGGGAGCTCCAGCAATGAACATGGCACGACATATCGACACAGATCTTAAGCACGACGCCCCGACATCGCTGGTGGTACCGCGGATGTGGGGCCGCGGCCAGATTCAACAGAGGCACACTGCCGTCAGACTGTGCTCCGTCGAGACTCGAAGGATAAGGCTGAGGACGCACGCTACTTGTACAAAAAGGGGCTCCTTCCGATCGAGAAGCTTACCTCACCAATTCTGGGTGGCCGGCGCCCGAACTTTGCCCGAGGCATCCGCTATGTCGCGCTCGGGGGCTGCGCTTACAGAGTGCGGCGGGACGGCTGTGAGGGGGAGGAAGACGACGGAGAAGCAGACGCTCCGGTGTTGCTAGCTGCTAGACGTGGTCCTGGCCCGAGGTGCTCCCAACATTTCGCGCCATTTCATGCCTCTGGGGCCCTCTGGGTCTCGAGAGGGTTGATCTGGAAACCATCTGGGCCATGGACATCTTCGGCAACGCCCCAAGAGGCGCCAATTACATACAGTAGGAGCTCGACAACAAGAAACCTCCCACCAGAAACCCAACCCTGGAACCCCAGGACGTCCATCGATTTTTGGTGTGGGAGCGTCACGCTTCCCATCGCAAAACCATCAAGACCAAATAAACCCAGGGCCCCCTGGAGGCAAGCAGGGTGTTTCTTGGCACGGGTTTCCACTATGCCTGCGCTGGCCCTGGCCGGGCCCATCCTGCAGGGCCCAGGACCGTTGGCTGTACGCGCGCTCCCCTGCGAGGGCAGGATGGCGCAGGCACCGATGCTGGGCCCAGCATGGCCCCGGCAAGGATCGGCCAGGACGGGCTCGGGCTCGAAGCCGAGGGCCAGGGCCGGAGCAGGAGCTGGAGTCGACAAGGGCCCGGACACCGACACGGACCCGGACCCCGAGATCGCCGCTGGGGTTGCTATCGGGAGTCCTGGGGGTTTCTCAGTGGACGCCAAGGCGGGTTCTGTCTGGCGTAGCCTGGCTCATAAGTGGGTTGCAAGTGCCTCAAGGGGCGGCTAGTCCGATAACTCCGCTGCTTGGTGGAGCCCGCTTGGCCTGGATCTTCACCTGGCCTAAGCCACTCAGGGAACTTCTTACCCACTCTAGGCCAGATGTAATTCACCACCGCATCCTTAAAACAAAAACTCCTATCCACTTAGCACCGCCCCCGGTGATCGAAGCCGCCCCGGCCCGAATCCCGACCCAGGCTCGGAGCCGGCGCTGGAGCTGGAGCCACGCCGCAAGCCTACCGCAGGGTGCGCAGGCGGCCTCTGCAGAAGGGCCCCGTGGTGGATGAGGGGCACCGGGCTCGGCGCTGGCGGGCCAGCCTGCCGCAGACAGGGCACGCAGAGTGGCCACTGGGCGCCAGACGTGCTGGCCTTCCTGCGCGGCCGACGGCACTCGTGGGTTATGGGGACCACCAAGTTCGCCGACTACACGGCGTCCGAGCACGAGGGTACAAGGTCATTATCTGAAGATCTGCCACCGTGCCCTTGAGGCACGAGTTGGAGTGTCCTCAGGTCCCTTGCCCGTTCCCCTGGAGCCTCAGTCCTCGATCCTGCGGATTCTTTATGGGCCCGGACCCCCTCGTTCACACATCTTCTGGGGCTTGTCGCGTGCCTCCCGGGGTCCCGGGGAGGCAGGGTCCCCGGGTCAGAATACCCCTCCTGGGGTCCGGAGGTCCGGAAGGGGGCCGGAAGGGGGCGGTGCAGGAGGGGTCTGGGGCCAGAATGCCGCCCCCTGGGGTCCCGGCGGGTCCCCAGGGGGTCGCCAGCGGGGGTCCCGGGGGAGGTCGGGTCGGAAGCGCGGGCCGTCAGGCCTTCGCAACATGTGCCAAGGGGAACCCAGCGAGCCCAGCCACAAGAACATGAAAGACAGGAAACAGAGGCAGTCCGCGGCAGGTGCCGACCCTGCCAGCTGGCGGCGACGGCGACCCTCAGCCGGCGGCGACGGCGACGGCGGCGCCGACCCGACCGCGCGGAAAGTCCACCCTTCGGCGACACGCAAGAGCGGCCCTACTTATGCAGGGGTGCCCTTTGGTGCGCGGCTCGCCAGTGGCTGCCTGCGGTGCGACAGCACAGCAGGTGCCCGCCTGCTTGGGCTTGCCGCCCCCCTGCCTACACATCCGTCGTCATGCTTTTTTTTCAGCGTGACTCCCCAAAGGTCTAGACGCCTTCCCTGGGACCGTCTTCTCATCCTGAGTCGTTTCGTGGGTGACGGCCCGAGGGCCGCGTGAGAGCCCCGGGGCCCGAGCATCGCAAGTATCTTGCGCCGTGTGTCTTCCGCAACGAGAGGATGTCAGGGTGCGCCTCCTGAAGGCCGCGCACCAAAGGTCACTCTTCGAGAATGAGATCGACTACATAGTGGATTTACCCCAGAACTGTATTCCGCCGAGGCTACGAAGGATACGTTGAATGCTCATACGGACATTCCACGTATACAATGTTGGGCTTCTGTTGTTCCCATCGTGCTAAAGGACGCCTCCCAGGGCCCGACACGTGAAGATCCTCAAGTTTGGGTATTTTCTTGGTGTTCGAAATTCTTTCTTGTGATCAAGGCTAAAGTAGGCTGGAGCATCATGACTTTGTGGCGTAAATCTATTGTGCAGTCCATCTCCTGCTCGAACCCTGGCGAATGGCCGCTCTTGCGCGTGGCCGCCCCGTGATGCCCCGCCTGGGAGAGAGCGGCTCCGGCGGCAGCAGCGTCGTGCCCTTGCGGGCCTCCACGGGGGCCGTGCGGCGGGGGGCGCGGCGCGGGGGCCGCAGGAAAACGGGCCGAGACGGGATGAAGAAAGCGCTGAGGGGGAGGATGTCATATCTACCGCAGGCTGCGGTCTTTCGCTGCGAACGCCGGCCGTGCCAGCAGTCTGCCGGCACGGAACTGGGGCGTATTGAAAACAACGCGCGGCCGAAGAGTCTGCAAAAAAGTCAGCTGGCTATTTCGGCGAATCCTTGCAAGGAAGGTGAGGGGGGATGGGGAAGAGAAGAGGAGGAGTGGGAGAAGTTTAGAGTTAGGAGGATGGAGCGCAGTAGAGGAAATAATAACGTTCACAGAAAAAAGCATGCCGCAGCAGCGCCAAGCTGGCATCGGCAGACAGGCCACCGTGTGATCTGCGTTCAGGTAAACCTGTCGGGAAGAGCCCGCCCACTTGTTCGCCGTTTTAGCGCTCGCCGAACGAGGGGAGGATGAGGAAGAGCAGGCGGCAGCTGGACGCGGGCACGGGGAAGGAGGAAAGGAAGCCGCACACCCCCGCCGAGGCCGATCCGTTGCGACTGCTCCTGGCCCCTGCGATCGACGCGCACTCAACTTTGAATGTGCTTTGCAAAATGCTCGGGGCATTTCGCTTTGCCGGTGTTGTGGGCAAAGTCTCGGATGTTTGGGGGAACGCCCGAGCTGCAGTTGATGCGGGCAAGCACCAGGTCTCGCTAAAAACAAGTATTGTCCGTATCCCCCTTAAGGAAGGGAACCAGGAATCCGACACGCATTGGATACTGATATACATATTGTCCGTAGGTGCGTTCGGCCCTGCATTGCCTCCCAACCTCGGCAACCGCGATCGAAGTGCGGTCCAGGATGGATCTTCTGCGAGCGAGGCCAAGCCAGAGCTGGACTGAACCAATAACGATCAATGTGGCTGCTGCTTCTGCTTGGTCCTGCTGCTGGTCGGCTGCCCCAACGCGATACTCTGCGCCGCCCGCGGCCACTGCCACCCCCTTCGATCTCAGGATCCAGAACGCCTCTGGCGCGGCCAGCGGGCTTCCGGGTGGTCTGATTTTTCGGCGCATCGGGAAGGCCACGAACGCCCCCGCTAAGGCCCCGACTGTCGCTGCGAACCCCCCCACTAATTGCTAGAAAAATTGCGGGGACAAAATACAATGCTTAGGTCTGGCCTGTCCCCCTACAGGCGGATCTTGCACGAAAAATTCAAAAGATTCACAATAGTCAAATAATAGTTCAAAAACTATAAAGAAATGGTCCCCCCGATTATTTTTGGACTACTTTGAATATTCTTCCTGTAGAGGGGCATGCCCGCCTTAACACTAACTGCTAGAAGAATGGCGGGGACAAACTACAATGCCAAGTGACGGCCGGCCACGTGCCTGCCAGCGTGGAGCCCTAACAGTGCATGTCTGCATTATTTGTGTGCCTGCTACGCGTGGTGGAAGCTATGTGGTGCAATTACTTCTGCCACCAATGAATTGTCAACTCCACTACTCGCGCAAACACCCCACCCTCCCACCAGCAACTTGTTGGGCAAAACCCATTTGACCACGATTTGGGCTGCTGATTTGCACCTGCTCGCTGGAGCGCTGGCGCGCGCACGCTCGTTTGCAGAGCGATTTGCTGGTCTGGCACAGCTTGTGCTGTAACGAGGGCGCTTGCTGGTGGCAAATTCCCAGCATGTCTGACAGGCCGCGTTGGCGCACGGGCACTCACGATGGCGCTTACCGGTGGCAAACCCCCAGCGTGTCTGACAGGCCGCGTTGGCGCGCGGGCACTTCAGTGCGGATTGGTGAGTCGGGAGAGCGCTATAACATGAAAGAAACGACGATGGCGGCAAATCTGGTAATAACAATGGTGGTGGCGATAATGACGATGCCGACGGCAGGGCCAATGACGGCGCTGGTGCTGGTGACGACGGTGACGAGGATGATGTCCATGTGTCGGTAATGAAAGCCATTGTGCTGACAGTGGCTGCAATGGCAGCAATTGCCGGTGACAGTAACAGCGGTGACTCGGTGGCACTGCTGGGGGTGATGAGGTGCGCCGGAAACATGCAAGCAACGACGTAAACTCTGTGATTGAACAGAACTGTTTTCGAACATCTAAATCTTGGAATGCGCCGGAAACCCGTGTTCTTTGGAATGGCTTCAACACGCGCGCGTGGCGGCGCGCGCGCGTGACACGCTCAGGTCGATTTGGCACGGATTCGCGCACAAGGAGCATGCTAGATCAACGCGCACGCACCGCGTGGTGGAATGAAAATGCGAGTTCGGGACGAGATTGCTAGACTTCTATAGCTTGTCCCATAGTTTCAGCAAGTGCGCGCGGGCTGAACACCTGCAAGTCCTTCACGTACAAGCAAAAGGGCTGCTTTCATGAAGCGTTTGCAAACATAAGGTGTTTGGTGTGATTTCGACATGTGCGCGCGTGTGGACTTTCGTGCGCATCCCATTAAAGTATTTAGCAAATCTGTTTTGAGACGAACAAATGTGCGTGTATGGCACCATCTGACAAGGGAAAGAGGGGTCAATGCTGGATTGGCTGGGGTGATCAGGCTTCATATGCAAAATAAGCGATGCGGCAAACTGATCTGCAAACTGCGGGGTCCAAGGGGGGGCGGGCTCCAGTGTGTAGAGCATATCAATATTGTTCTGTTGTGGCAAAGGAAGATCTTTGCGGCACGATGCATGTGGCGCGCGCAAACCATCTGGTACAATCTACGTGGTACAGCTCACTTTGACTGTCTTGAAGCTGTCCTCTCCGCTGCTCGTGCAAACATGTGCAAACATCCCACCCTCCCACCCGCAACTTGGTCGCAAGACCTCTTGAGACCGTGATGGTAGGTGCCAAATTGCACTTGGCAGCGACACCGGCGCCGACGACGACAGCGACAACGACGACGACGACGCCGACGACGACTACGACGACGCCGACACCGACTCCGACGACTTCGACGACGACGACGACGACGACGACGACGACACCGACGACGACGACGACGCCGACGCGGACGACGACGACGATGACAACGCCGACGCCGACGACGACGATGACGACGACGATGACGACGACGACGACGCCGACGACGGCGCCGACGACGACGACGACGAAGATGAAAACGACGACGACGACGACGTCGCCAACGAAGACGACGACGACGAGCGAGGACGACGACGACGACGACAACGACGACAACGACGAGGGAGGAGGGAGGACGGCGACGACGCGAACGACGAAGACGGAGGGAGGACGGCGACGACGACGACGACAACGACGAGGGTGTAGGGAAGACGACGACGACGACGGCGACGAAATACAAGGGACGACGACGAGACGCCAACGACGGACGACGACGACGACGACGACGACGACGACGGAGGAGGAAGGACGACCACGGCGACATCGACGACGGAAACGACGACGACGCCAAAGAGGACGACGATGACGACGAGGAGAGGACGACGATGGCGACGACGACGACGACGACGAGGGAGGAGAGAGGACGGCGACGACGACGACGACGCAAGAGCGCGCGCGCACGCTTTTGTTGAACATCCGTGTTGCGAAACCCTGTGTTTTTTGTATGTTGTTTGGACACTCGTTTTTGAAATCCGTCTGAAATCGCGAGTTTTTGACGAATTTCGGCATGAGCGCGCGACGGCGCGCGCGCGCACTTCGTCCCATTTTTGTGAAGAGGGTTCTCGCGGCGGCACGCGCGCAAGGGCGTTCGAACGATTTCGGCATGCGTGCGCGCGAAGCCGTTTTGGTAACATTTGAAGTCTTGAAAAACCGATGGTTTCCGTAAGATGTCGCAAACGCACGCGCGTGCGCACTTCGTCCCGTTTGTTGCAAACGGATTCTTGAGAACTTTTGATTTGTGATGCACGAGTGCGCGAGGCAAGTGCTCTCGACGAAAGAATCCGAATACAAAAAGACAAACTTGGGGAGGCACGCGGGGGTTTCTTCGGTCGGCGCTGGACCCCCCATCCGGGTGGCGCCAGTAGCACCGTCAGGGCTGTCCAGCGCCGATATAAAAAATGCGCGGGCCTCCGAAGCCAATAAAAAACGCGCGGGCCTCCAAACATTGCTGTTCATGCGGATGTTTTTTGTTGCAGATGTCTCATCTTGTGATCCCTGCCCTCCCCCTCCTACTCCTCCTGCTCCTCCTGCTCCTCCTCCGGCTCCTCCTCGTGCTCCACCTTCCCCTCCTGCTCCTCTTCTTTGCGAGCAGTAGAGCGCGCTTTGTCTAGAAAGGGAAGAGGTGGGAAAAGAGGGCGGATGGGGAGGGACGCTGAGACCCTGGCGTTGCACTTGTTCCGCACCGGGCGATTTCGCCCAGTTGAGGGCCCTGGGATCCTCACATATCGATCTGGCTCGGGGAATAACGTAGAAAAATGTGGTCGAGGGTTCTCGTGATGCATTTTTCGCAACGTCGGTTCTCAGCGGAGGAGGAGGGAGGAGAAGTAACGGGGAGGGGTGGAAGGAGAGGGGGAGGAGGAGAAGGAGGAGGAGGAGGAGGAGGGGGAGGTTCGTATCTTTCTGATCGCCTGGGAGGCGCTTGGTCGCTTTTCGAAGTGCTGGTCAAAGCGCGAACCGGGAGAGCTCGGAGGCGATCTACGAGGGAGGAAGAAGAGGAGGAACAAGAGGAGGAGGAGGACGAGGACGAGGATGATGACGAGGACGAGCGCGAGGAGGAGGAGGAGGAATCACTACTCGCTCATGGCCTGGACCCGCCGCGGGGAATTTACGATCCATTACATTCAGGGGCGCGCAAGCATGGATTAGCGATCCATGGATTTGGCGCGTGGTCGCCTAATCCATGGATCGGGGGAAGTGCCCTTCCCAAAATGCCGCCGGTGCGGCCTCTTCGGCGGCGGAAATCCGCGATTGCCAATGGAAATGGGACCCGTCGCTAATCCACGCCCCTTTGATCCATGTTTGCGATCGCCCGACACATCGAGGCGGAACGCGCTCGGGGGCCTTCCGTCACCCGGGGAGTCCACCCCAGGGGGTCCCCAGGGCCCGTGGTGCAGCAGGCGTGCTCGCCGGCCGCGGTCCCCGGCGGGGAGGGGTGGCTCCCGCGCCGCGGCGAGGAGGGCGAGGAGAAGGACGAGGATGATGAGGAGGAGGAGCAGGACGAGGAGGAGGAGGAGGAGGAGGACGAGGAGGAGGAGGAGGAGGAGGAGACCAGATCACCCAAGAAGAAACGAGGCGGGCGGCCACGAACGCGGGAACTAAAGACGGCAAAGGCAGTCCAAGTCCTTGCCTCTGACGATAGCACTGGGCGCAGCATAGACGAGCTGGCGGATATGCGAGCTACGCAGACTCATGGCCCAAAACCCTTCCGTGCACCGTGCACATACTCGGCGATGCATCGGCGATGCGGCGCGATCCACCGACCCCATCTACTCTGACCCCATCTAGGAGGCCTACTTCAAATCCCTTATTAACCGACCCCCCCCCTAAAAAACCAGACCCCCCTCGAAATGCGACCGAATATTCCGGACCCCCCTCTTCGACGGGGCGCCTAGATAAACCGGACCCCCTAAGCTCCAATCCAAAGGAAGCGCCCTATAGCCTTAAACACCGGACCCGGGGGACGATTAGTGAAGGATTTGGAGTAGAGTAGAGTAGAGTAGAAGGAGGAGGAGGAAGAGGACTGGAGGAGGGAGAAGAACAGGGAGGAGGAGGGTGACGATGTTGATCGAAACACGCGTGAAGAGTCCCTTCCCCTGCGCCACCAGCGCCCGGCGGCACCCGCTCCGGACCCTCGGGCCTGCGGGCCCTCGTGGCAGCAGCTCTTCTCCTCGTGCATCCTCCTCCTCGTGCATCTCCTCCTCCGTCTTCATCTCCACCGTTTCGTCTACCGTTTCCTCTTCTCCTCCTTCTCCTCCTCCTCCTCTTCCTCCTCCTCCCCCTCCTCCTCCTCCTCGAGCCCGCTGCGGGATTGCAGATCCTGGCGCTGCCGCTTTTTCAGACCTGGCGCTCTCTGTCCAGTTCCGGGCCCCAGGGCCCTCGCAGATCGATCCTCTTCGAGCGATGAATGTCATGGACGTGCTGGCCTGGGTCGGTCCAAACCAGGGTCGGTCGGGCTTTGCAAAATCCTGCAAGATCCTGCAACACTCCTGCAGGATCCTGCACGCCAATCCGGGTCAGTGCAGCCCTGGCCCTGCAGAATCCTGCAAAATGCAACGCTCTGGCTGGCCACCGTCTGCTCTGACCCCCGTCGCAAGGCGGCCGACAATGACGCAGAAAGATGGGGTCTGGGGCTCTGGCCGCGATGTTTGCGATGTTGCCACTTTTCCGAATGTCGGATCTCCGGGTGCGGGCGGGGAAGGGGGCGAGAGCTGCAGCGCTGCTGCTGCCCTCTTCCTGCTCCTCCTGGGACTCCCTCCCGCTACTCCCTCTGCTGCTTCGCCTGCTGCTTCCCATGCTGCTCCCTCTCGTGCTCCCCTTCCTGCTCCCCCTCCTGGCCGTCGGCGTCGATATTGTGACGAGTTGGTTCGAATGGAGGATGCAGCAGGCTCGTGTCGTGACGACTTCGGCGTGGGTGTCCGACACCGCGTGGATCGCTCAGCCTCGAGCGATCGCGGCTTCCCGATTGCTCAGATAGTTCGACATCGGCCGATCCTACGCTGCTGGCGGCGTTCAACCTTGAACGCCCGCGCTGGGTTAGCCGCCGCGTCGACACAACACGAACCTGCCCGAAAGAGGAGGAGGAGGATGAGGAGGAGGAGGAGGAGCAGGACGAGGAGGAGGAGGAGGAGGAGGAGGAGGAGGAGCCTGGAGGAGGAGACGCAGGAGAGCGCCTCCCCCTCCTCACTCTCCTTCTCTTCCCTGCCGCTTGCTTGTGCTAGGAGCTCTGCCCTCGACACATGGTCGGGTATCGGCTCTGATAGTTGCTCCCTCGGTCGGGCCACGGCATGCAGGAGTCTCACATTGCTGCAGGCGGTCTGGGCGTCTGAGGTCGAGGGTGGCACTCGGCGGAAGCTGTACGGAGTGGGACGAACAGAAGGGGGCGGTAGACGAAGATGAGCAGGGGACTGAGCAGCAGAGGCGAGGAGGAGGAGGAGGAGGAGGAGGAAGGAGCAGCAGCAGCAGCAGCAGCAGCAGCAGAAGGAAGATGATGCTCCAAATTGGGTAATTCACGCACGTCGCATACGGATACACTCACTTCTTTGACAACGCGCTGCCCTCTTGTAGCATAGTGCTGGTTGGCACCATCTAGTAAACGTTTCGACATTGCACAGAGGGAGAAAAAGAGAGATACAGGGAGAAAGAGAGAGAGAGAGAGAGAGAGAACACCAACATCAACAACAACAACAACAACAACAACGACAACAACAACACCAACACCAACACCAACACCAACACCACCACTAACAACAACAACAACAACAACTATTTGATTGGATAAGCCCACGTTTGACACACTGAAGCAAGACGGATGGGGGAGGGAGTGCGCGGAGCAAGGCGAGTGCAATGATGACGACGACGATGGAGGTGCATGTTGACACCGCTTCGACAAGACGCCGATGGCCAGAAGCACAAGCCGACGAGGCTAGGCAGCGGAAGCGAGAGGACGGAGAGCGTTGGACAGGAAGCGAGCGGCCACAGGGTTGGCGAACCTCCTTCTGCTTCTTCTCCTCCAGTGGGGGGCGTGCAAACATGGATTAGCGATCCATAGATTTGGCGGGCGGTCGCCAAATCCATGGATCGGGGGAGGTGCCCTCCCCACAATGCGGCCGGCGCCGCCTCGTTCGGCGGCGGCGGAAATCCGCGATTTCTAATGAAAACGGGACCCGTCGCTAATCCACGCCCCTTTAATCCATGTTTGCGATCGCCTGATCCAGTGCCGCTCCTGAGGCCTGCCTCATGCCTCCCCCCTCTCCTCTGAGGAGCAACGATAGGGGCGACTGGCCTGGAGGGGGAACATCGACCTGGAACCGGCAATGCATCGCCGATAGATCGGCGATATGCTCCCGATAGCAAATCCCCACGCTCCAGGGCGGGGTGGGCTGTCGAGCCCCTGTCGGCGATGAGTGCACGATTGAGGGTCGATGCGTCCCCTCCTATGCCTATCCCATCCTATCCTTGTCCCTGATCTGACCCTGGGGCCTCTCCTCAGGACCAGGTCTGCATTCACCTTCCAGGGGCCCGCGGAGTGCCCTGGGAGGCCCAAAACGAGAAAACCAACAGGACGCGTTTCCCTCAGGACCCGCTTCCTGCACTGCGATCTCCTCCTTCCGCGAGCCAGGGATTCGCCACCATGGACGCCGCGGCGGCGGCTGCAGCGCCGAGGGCTGGCGCGGGCGGGGAAGGGACCCCTCACGTGTATGCTCGGCTGTCGTCGTCGCGTCGTCGCCCTGCTTCTCCCTGTCCTTCTCCCTCCTCCTCCTCCTCCTCCTCGTCCGCCCCCTCCTCCTCTTCCTCCTCCTCCTCCTCCTCCTCCTCCTCCTCCTCCGCCTCCGCCTCCGCCTCCGCCTCCGCCTTCGCCTCCGCCTCCGCCTCCGCCTCCGCCTCCGCCTCCGCCTCCTCCTCCTCCTCCTCCTCCTCCTCCTCCCGCCCCCCTGCCTCCTGTTACTCCTCCCCCCCTCCTCGTTCTCCCCCTCTCCTCCTCCTCCTCCTCCTCCTCCTCCTCCTCCTCCTCCTCCTGCTCCTCCCCTTCCTCCCGCTCCTCCAACTCCTACCCCCCTCGCTGTCGCCTGCCCCTAGGGAGGGGGGGGGGCAAGGTGGCCGCACACCACAAGGCCTCGCTCAGGAAGCAGGCCTCGAGCATCGCCACCGCAGGGGGGGGCCCTAGGGCGGGCCCGGGCACCGCTCGCCTCGGTGGCCGGCGCCGGGGCCATCACCTCGTCCTCGTCTTCATCGACGTCCTCATCACCATCACCATCACCAATATCACCCTCATCCTTACCATCATCTCACCGTCACCATCATCATCACCATCACCACCACCATCACCATCATCACCATCACAATGACCATCACCATCACCATCATTATCATCAGCAGCATCAGCATCACCACCATCATCAGCAACATCATCAACATCACCATCAACATGTTCATCATCCTCGTACCATCATCAGACGCAGTAGCATCGGCATCACCCTCGGCAACATTATCATCATCAGCATCACCACCATCATCATCCTCCTCATCATCATCATCACCATCGTCGTAATCAGCATCATCATCACCATCATCAGCATCATCATACTCACACACATCATCTGAATCATCATCGCCATCCCCACCACCACCATCATCATCATCATCATCATCATCATCATCATCATCATCATCATCATCATCGACATCATCAATATCGTCATCATCGTCGTCATCATCCTCACCATCAACATCAACATCATCATCACCACCATCATCAGCATCATCACCGTCACCATCACCATCATCATCATCATCATCATCATCATCATCATCAACATCATCATCATCATTTTCATGAGCATCATCATTATAATCATCCTCACCATCCACACCATCATATTCACCACCATCACGGTTATTTAATCATCATCATCGTCGTCACCGTCGTCACCACCAAGGTTATGCACAGCGCCTCGGATGACCACCCTTGTTTTGCTTGTCCGAGCATCGCCCAACGGCCTCGGCATCATCACCATCAACATCGCACGCGGTATTATAATCATCACCACCCCTATACATCCTCGTCGTTGTCCTAGTCGTCCTCCTTCCCTCCTCGTGCCCAGTCTCGAGGCGGAGCAGGACGAGGAGTAGGAGCAGGGGAAGAGGAGGACGAGGAACAGCACGTCATTAGGAGGATGAAGGGATGCTGATGATGATGATGATGATGATGCTGATGATGATGATGATGATGATGATGATGATGCTGATGCTGATGCTGATGAAGATGAGCAGGACGAGCCATTCCCAACCATCCTGTGAGATTGGGTGTTCGTTTTGAAGAGGCAATGTCCGCGTTGTCCTCCAGTCTCCGTCCTCCCGCCTCCTCCCTCCTCCCATACCTCTCTCTGCCATCCGCACTCCGCATGCCCGTATCCAAGTCACCATCGACATCACCATTATCATCAGCATCATCATCATCATCATCATCATCATCATCAACATCATCATCATCATCATCATCATCATCATCATCATCATCATCATCATCATCATCATCATCAGCATCAACGGCATCACCAGCATCATCAGCATCCTCATCGTCATCAACTGCAGCATCATCATCAGCAGCATCAGCATCAGCATCAGCATCAGCATCAGCACCCTCATCAATATCATCAGCCTCAGCATTATCATCATCACCATCGGCATCACCAACATCGCTGCCAGCATTACCAGCATCGACACCATCACTATCGCCAGCATCGGCGCATTAATCACCGTCAGCAGCATCACAGCATCATCACCATCATCGTCATCACCATCACCATCAACACCATCATAATCATCATCGTCATCATCATCATCATCATCATCAGCATCATCATCATCATCATCATCATCATCATCATCATCATCATCATCATCATCATCGTCGTCGTCGTCATCAGCATCGCCAGCAGCATAGTCATTATCATCAGCATCATCATACACATCCGCATCATCATCAGCATCATCATCAGCATCATCACCATCGTCATCCCCATCAACACCAGCATCATCGTCATCATCATGATCGCCATCATATTCATGACCCCAACTCTCTCCGTTGTCGCGATCACCATCGGCCACGACTCAGCCCATCCCTCAAACGTTTCGTGGCGCCATCGGGAGCTCCAGACAACCCTCGCACGGTTCGTGGCGCCAGAAGGAGTTCCGCCCAATGCCCAAGCGACAGGGTCCTCATGGCGGCCCCGCCTCAGTTCGGCACACCCCTCACACGAGTCGTGGTCCCACACGGAGCTCGACCCAATGCCCTAGTAGGAGGGTCCGCATCGCGGCCCCGCCCTATCTCGGGACACCCCTCATGCGGTTCGTGGCCCCATAGGGAGCTCCACCCAAGGCCTCAAAGGGAGGGTCCGCATGACGGCACCGCTCCATTTCGGTAGACCCATTGCACGGTTGAGCTCAACCCAACGCGAGTGACAAGGTCCGCATGACGGCTCCGCCCCATTTCGGCACAACCCCTCACACGGTTCGTGGCCTCATAGAAGCTCCATTCCGTGCCCCCGTGGGAGGGTCCGCATGACGGCCCCACCCCATGTCGGCACACCCCTCACTCGGTTCGTGGCCCCATAGGGAGGTCCACCCAACTGGTCTTCAGGCGGGAGGGCCGATGCCTCCCAGGCATTATACACCCCTCCCGTTGCGCTGCGGCCCCTCCTCCTCCTCCTCCTCCTCCTCCTCCTCAGCCTCCTCCTCCCTCGATCCTAGCTCCTCATCCCTCCTCGTTTCGCCCCCCCCCACCCCTCCTGCACAATTGGTCGATATGCGTTATACTCTCCCTTCTCCCCTGGCGCTGTCTGGAAGATGCCTCGCCCTCTCCGCGCATTGGTTGTCCACACAGGCTCTCGATATGTGATGTTTCCCATGCTGCTTCCTCTTCGGAATTCTCTCTGCGTTTCAAGGCGGTGCTCCCGCTGCAACGCGGGCCTCATTTTAGGATCGGCGCCCTGCTGCTCCCATCATTCCAGATGCGGCCTCGCCCCAACTTGCGCCACGTTTCTCACCTTCTGGCTCATCCGCGACCTCCTCCTCCAATGTACGCAGCGTCCCTTTTCCGATCGCGCATAGGGTCCTTGTTAGAGTTCCAGATCTGCGATGACACGCGTCGGCGGACAGACAACACATCAGCGCACTGGAGAGGGATTGGTGAACGGGTATGACAGACATGGCGCGCGAACGCACCTCGCTTGCCTACTTGATGACTCCCTGAAGGTGTTCAGATTACAAGCTACCCTTCGCACGCCGATTCAATGATGTGCGTTGGCATCGTATGTCTAATGACCGCTCTTTTTGCTGAACCCGTAATGTGCGGGCACCTGGCATCTGCAACCAAACAAGAACCATGATTGCGCTCTCCGCTTGCATTCCGTTGACCTGCGTCCGTAAAACGAACGCCCGATCAACTGTACCCACTGCCGTGTGCACCAGTAGCTGCCGCTTATCACAATAAGCCGTTCACTGAACAAAGACGACGACCTACGATCGCGTTCCGACCAGAAGTGCTCTGACACGTCGAGGTCGAATCAGTCCTCCGCTCCACGACGCGTGCGAGCCTGGAATGTACGAGCTCCACGACGATGTGGTGCTCGGTGAGGTGCTGTCGTGGTCTCCCTGGTTGTGACCACCCTCTTATTATCTACGGGCCGGCAAGCATGGTCAATGCCCCTGAAAACATTCGGGTATTGCTAGAAGTCTCGCTAGCCCAAGGTGACCCCAACTTCCCCAGGGAGGCGTAGATGTCTTCCGGAGCACCCCTCACGAGGCCAAGAGGGTCTCGGAGGCTCCAAACTGGCGCGAAAAGCTGGGAACACCTTGGGCCAGGACCACTTCAACCAGCCCCCTTCCGCGGGCAGGTCGATGCCCCACCGTCTCCTGGAAAGTTTCCTCTGGGTGCCCGCCTGGCTGTTGTCCCCAACACATGCTGGCAATGGCCGCTGGATGTCCCGGCTGAGCTTGGCGCGTGGCTCCATCCGACTTGCAGCCCCAGCCGGGGCCTTCTCGCCTCCCCGCCTCCTGAGCGGCTGGGGCGGACGCGCCACCCTGCAGGAGCCGTGGTAGATCCTGGTCGTGATTGCTTGCCGCTCGTCGACGTGTCCGCGGCATCCTCCGACCAAGTGCTCCCTTGCCACTCCCAGGTTGCAAACATGAGGTGCGCCGAGCTCTACTACTGTCTAGCGTGTTGTGGCGGCGGCCCCTGCGACGCGCTACGCCTTGCAAACTGATGGCGTGTCGCTGTGCTTTGTAGGGCTAGGACGTACTTAGCGTGCCGCGCCGAAGCATTGTGGGCCAGAGCTGGCGGCGCGACACGACAAGCAAGCGTTCTTGACCGTACCAAGCCGAAGGTGGCAAGCGGGGGGTAGGAGGAGGCCGAAGAGGGGGTGGAGGGGGCGGCGAAGGAGGCGGGACAAGTGGGGAAGAGGGCGAGGCAAGGCGGATCAGGACGTGGCGAGAAATGCTAGGGGTGGAGGAGGAGGCGAGGAAACGCACGAGGAGGCCGAGGACGAAGAGGGGGGAAGGAGACGCAGGAAGAGAAGGAGGAGGAGGAGGCGGAGGATGAGAATTTTTGTTTGAGCTCAACGCCCAACTCCTCTGCAGGCCTGCTTGCAGCAGGCTCAACCTCGTGCCGCAGTAGGAGGAGGAGGAGAAGGAGGAGGAGGAGGAGGAGGAGGAGGAGGAGGAAGAGGAAGAGGAGGAGGAGGAGGAGGAGGAGGAGGAGGAGGAGGAGGAGGACGGCCGACGCCAGACGGCGACGGGCGACGCAACAACGAGGAGGGACGCCACCACCGTGCCTGAGTTGTGGGCCAGTGGCCTACGGGGTGCATGGCGGGACACCTAGAGAAATCTTTCGGAGGCCTCTCGGAGAGCTCTTAGGGGCCCTCTTGGGGGCTTCTTAGTGGCCTCTTGGGAACGACGACCACCGCGGAGACGGCCAGCCTGGGCGCGACGCCCACGACACCGCGCGCGGCGCGGCACGGGCGGCGCGGCGCGGGCAGCCCCGAGGGCGGCCTCCTTGAGCCCACCAGGCTGCCGCCCTCCTCATGCCCCCCCCACCCCAGGCCTCCAAAGCTCCCTCCAGGCTGCTGAGGCTGCTGCCCTCAA